TTACACTACTACTACTCACCAATTTAACATGTTTAGCTCTATAACATTTAAATGCTCCACTCCAATGCCTAAGAGAAAAAAATTTAACGAATATTTTTTAATGTATGACCTGCATCACTGTACAGAAGACTGCCATATGATAGAAATATTTACACCGTGCGCATACAGTTATTATTATTCTTTTCCTAATCCCTGACTGATCATTTTTAATCTAGCATGTATTATAGTATATATTAAATTCATCATCCAGCTGTTGCTCTGCAGAATTCTCTCCCCAAGGAGAAAAAAATTACGCCATCTAGCGGAAAATCACACGGCTTTTTCGGCGAGAATGTCTTCAAAACAACAAAAATGGCGCCGGCAACGCTTGTGGGACGTTTTCAGCGAATGTTGGTGATTTTAAAGTAATTTTCAGTGATAAATAAAATTTTTTTTGCAATCATTGCACTTACCCGGCGGGCAAATGCAATGAAATTTGTACTCTCCCAACAATAAAAACTACTTGCCCAGGGAGATCGGGCGATGGTTAACATTGAGTCTTGGTATTATAATTATTCTTTATTTATTTGTTTTTACATTCCTTTAGTTTAGATTTACACTAAATATGTTCCTGATAAGGATATGCACTACAAATGTCATTAGAGTTTCATTTATATGGCTAGCAGAATATTAAAACAAAAGTGCTACTATGCAATTCATTCTTGAAGTATGTGTATACAATGTGATTTATCCTGATTAACCAGGCAAATTTGGCAGGTATTTGTGATTTAAGATTTTAATCGTTGCACAGCTATACATAATACAATAGACTCAGGCAGGCCCAAAGTTGGTCCTTGGTGAGGCGTTATTCTACAGGTTTCACAGGTTTCCCTGCTTTAGCACAGCTGATTCAGATGACTGCAGTTCAGCAAAAGCCTGTTAATCAGCTATGATTGGATATCAGCTGTGCTGGAGCAGAGAAACCTCTAAAACCGGCTGAACAGCATCCCTGAAGGACTGTTGACCTCCCCCCCTCCAAACCTTGCATGCTTATAATGGGTAAGAAAATATGAAGCATGACCGAACTCTGTGCATTGTCAACATGAGGGGAAAAAATCCCTTTTGTGACGAGTAAGAGCTGTGCACTTTTTCATTCCCCATGTCTCTTTATAGACTCTTGATTTTCAAATTTTTTTAATATAAAATGAGCTAACATTTAAATCCAGACTTTCTATTTGCTTTGATTTAATTGTAATTTGTGCCCACCTGCAGAGATGATTTGAATGTTGATTTTTAAATCAACATTACTCTACCGCTGTTTTTTTTCTGCTGGGCTAACTATGTCTGTATGCACAGAAAACCTGTCTCCATCCTGTCATTGTACCAATACAACAACGACTGCAGATATATTTGCATGTCAGTTTGCACCCGACTGTCAGAAGTATTTAAAAAGATGCAAAAACTGCGGCCGCAGCTGAGTTTCTGATTGGAAGATCGCTTTGCACATGATACATATTTACATTTGCAAATCCTTCAACCATGAATATGATGTTTAGTAATTAGAGTATCAACTGTATATTAATTCAAGCGCACACCCCCAAAAATGGTTTGCATACTCTGCAAATGCAAATCACTTTGGACCTTCTAAGAAGAAGCGTAAAAACATGTCTGCAGCCGTTATGTGCCTATGTGTCTTATCATCCTGCCATTGGGTTAATAAGATGTGGTTTGGAGCACAGAGCCATTTGCCTTTCATCTAAGTTTATAAATTCTGCTTGAAGCTGCATTTACAAACAGTCAAGCTGTTTGAATGATTCCTGCTTGAAATGTAAGAACTTTGCCTTGTAGTGCTGTTAAAAATAAAAATGCTGACCAGGCTAGCTAAATGCCCCACAGACTCATTTATTTAAGCAGAGTTTATAAATCCTACTGGTGATATTCGGAAATCTGTTTGCATTGATCGTCTACAGAAACTTTCAATGTGGCTCCAACCTGCCTAACTGTTCATTTAATCAATTTGTAGCTCAGATTGTCTAAATATTTAGCTGTTTTTTTATTAGGTTACCTTCTGTAACTGCTTAGTTTATAGTTTCTTAATTATTCTGGTAAAGTAATTTTTTTAATTTCAGATTTTAAAATTATGTTTGTGCCACCTTCTTGCCCAGTGCTCGCCAAAAGGCTTTTCAGGCAAAATAATGACTTTATTACCATCAATATTATTATCTGTATGTGTTTTAGAACCAGTTCTGGATCTATATGTTGACTTGAATCTGGTGATTCTGTCTAAAGAACAGCTGATCCTTTTTTTATGTCCGGCGTGACGAAACATGCCTCTGATGAATCGTCTTGTGATTAAAATGAGTAAAAGAAAAGTTGACAGTTTCTCAAAAACACAGTGTGGGGGGAAAAAATTGAGATTCTCTAGAGTCACATATATAGAGACACGATATATACACAGAAAAATTTTTTTGTCTCTCTCTCTATACCCCAAAAGCACAAAACATCTCAGAGAGAAAAGTGTTGCACACAAAAAAGAACTAATCCAAAAAAAACCAAAAAACTTCCCAAAAAATGGTAATGGTTAAACAAAAGGGGGGGAAATTTTTTTGGACTGACACAACCTTCACAGCTTTATCCTCATTATAAGTAAGGGAGGCAAACTCTGTCTAGGTCAGAACTGGCCTGATTACCGTTCCATAAGGGCCGTATCTCTTTGCAAAGATGTGAAAATAAAGTGTTGACTTAGTGAAATCAATTGATCTCCGTTTATTTAACTGAGGTGAATAGTTGAATAGTTTTTTCCTATTACAAGGCACTTGGTTTTATTTCTCTTGAATGGGAGAAAGACTCTTGGTGTGCTCTTTCCAGAGAACTATATGTGCCCAATCCAAAATGCAAGGTGTCAAACTGCAGGAACATCTATATTTATTCTAGGCTTTTTAAATTGAGGCTGCTCAGAATGCTGCAGGTAAAATGCTGTCTGATCAAAGCTGCTTCACTCAACCTGCTTCTAAAGAAACCAACCAACCATCCCTTGGAGTAAAAACAGACTGCATGAGACCAGAGCGAACAGTGATGGTTGTTCAGTGGTGGGAAACCTTACCTATAATCCAGTCCAGTGTGGGTACAGTATGCGTGGATGTGGCAGTGAGCCATCAGGCCGTCGGCGTTGCAGGGCGTGGCCGTCTTTTCACAATAATCTCCAGAGTATCCCTCCACACACGATCCTCTCCGACACACGCCGCCACTGCCGGGCCGGTTATCGCACACGCCATGCAGGCAGCGGCACTCTGAGGAAATGACAGCAGATCGGCTCAGCTGACTGTCTGCATCAACAGCAAGAACTGCTTTTTGCTCCAACAGGTTTAGAACATGAAGTTCTACTCAGATTCATGCTGCTAGTGCCAAAAAATCGTGATTAATCCAGTATTGAAGTAATCATCAACTAATTTAGAAACCGATTAAACATTAAGTGGAGCATACAGATTGTAAAACATGACTGTAGGTGACAGAGAGACTTCATAACTTTGGGCAGATGAGAACAGTAGGTACACCAGGTAGCGTGGAGGAGTCTATCTGCTGTCAGGAGGTTGATCTGGACTGTACTGTGCAGCAGGTTGTGCTTTATCAATGTCAAAGGGTCGATCGAATGATTCTATAGGGTATTTGGTCATTAAGGTCTCTGAATAGGGTGTGTAACTTTGGTTGGGCTGAAAATGGCATATTTGTTGTCCTGTGAGCCCTATTGGAAGCCTGGTTAAAAGCCCTAGAATGAAACGGCAGGTTTTCTTCCTTTTATGGTTTGATCATGAATATTTAGATGAGCTGTGCTCTGATTGGTTGGTTTATAACGAGTGAAGCTGCTGAGCAAAGACGCATCATAGCAACAAGCACTCTGTCAGGACTCCTGTCTGTCTGTTTGTGTTTCTGTGTTTGTCTCCCTTCATCCACCAGGAGGCGCCTGGTTCTGGTCCGCCTCCTCACACACCTGCTGATGGTTTCCTCGTTANGGTTTAGAACATGAAGTTCTACTCAGATTCATGCTGCTAGTGCCAAAAAAAAAAACAATTGGATTAATCGTGATTAATCCAGTATTGAAGTAATCATCAACTAATTTAGGAACCGATTAAACGTTAAGTGGAGCATAGAGATTGTCACCTACATGACTGTAGGTGACAGAGAGAGAGACTTCATCACTGTGGGCAGATGAGAACAGCAGGTACACCAGGTAGCGTCGAGGAGTCTATCTGCTGTCAGGAGGTTGATCTGGACTTCACTGTCTAGCAGGTTGTCCTTTACCAATGTCAAAATGTTGATCGAATAATTCTGTAGGGTATTTGGTCCTTAAAGTCTCTGAATAGGGTGTGCAACATTGTTGGTCTGAAAATGGCATATTAGCTGTTCTATGAGCCCTAATGCAGCCTGGTTAAAAGCCCTAGAATGAAACGACAGGTTTTCTTCCTTTTATGGTATGATCATGAATATTTAGATAAGCTGTGCTCTGATTGGTTGGTTTACGAGTGAAGCTGCTGAGCAAAGACGCATCATAGCAACAAGCACTCTGTCAGGACTCCTGTCTGTCTGTTTGTGTTTTCTGTGTTTGTCTCCCTTCATCCACCAGCAGGAGGCGCCTGGTTCTGGTCCGCCTCCTCACACACCTGCTGATGGTTTCCTCTTTAATGGAGTGTTCTTAAGCTGCTGACTGCCACTACCTCAACGCCAGAGTGTTTGCCAGTTTTGGGTACTAGCCAAGCTGAGTTTTGCTGAGTCAAACTGAGTTCTTGTCAACCGGAGTTTTAACTTTGTTTTTGTCTTTGCCTCTCGACAGGAAGTCATCCTGCAAACTGAATTTTTCTGACCTTCTCTCCATGGAAGGATCAACTGAGCTTCAAACTGAGCTGGGGTTCAAACAGGAGATTTGGATCCACTTTCCCCAAGAGATCGTTTGAGCTTCGCACTGAGAAGGGGATTAATCTCCACTACGACCCGTTCAAGTACTGCAGGAAATCTGAGTGGCAGTCAGTTTCTCCGTTAACAACTGCATTCTGTGCAAACCCTGTTCCGCCCTCCACCGAATCAGACAAAGACTGGAACTACAGCATACAGACTGGAGTCAAGGATTCAACAACTTCTCTGGAAACGTGAGTCAGCAACCAAATCCTCTTCTCCAAGTTCTCGAGCCAAATTTCCCACTGAGCCTGAACTAACCGCTGTGTCTTCCCCTCACTTTTCAGTTCCGGTTGAGCAGTGTTCAGAGCAACACTTCTCTCATTATTATCGCTTCAATAAAACCTGTTAAACCTTTTCCCTGGTCTCCATGTTTGGTCTTCTGCATACGGGTCTGAACCTTGGTAAAATCATGACACACTCACTCACTGAAACATCAGATTGTTGATATGGTAGGGTGACCAGACGTCCTCTTTTTCAGTGACATGTCCTGCTTTCATACCAAAAAAAATGTCCGGGGGGAATTTCAAAATCATCCGGGATTTTCCTCTAGGATCGGATTGAACTTTGAATCAGGCCAGTGACTTTTTGCTCCTAAACATGATTAGCCCCTCATCTAGTCACTGACCTGTGTTTTCTACCTTTGCAGTATATCCAGTTATCTGCCCCGCTGATGATCAGCTGCTCGCTGAGTTATTTGTTTTAAATAAAGCTTGTTGAAAACAGTCCTGAACTGTCTGTCTGAATATTGGGTCCAAGTTTGTGGTTGTTACATTTATATTTAAGATTAAAAAAAGATCTCTGTCAATATGCTCTATCCATCACTCTTCAGGCGGAAAGCATTAGTTGTACCTGGTTTAATTTTGTAAAAAAATATCTTCTTTTAGGAACCTTTAACTATCCGATTATTAATCGATTAAATTATGAAAAAATAATCGACAGATTCATCGATTTGCAAATTATTAATTAGTTGTCGCCCTAAATGCTGCACAGCAAAATAAATAATCAGAATCTGTTAAAGCGCTCTGATTTATTTCAAACACGTTTCAGATCAAACGGGTTTAAGGATGAGGAGGAGACGCTAACCTTCGTCGCAGTTTTCTCCGTGTTTGGACGGATCCGTGCAGATATGACAGGCGAGTCCTTTGAATCCGGAATGGCAGCTGCATGAGCCGTTACCATGGATACCGTCAAAACACTGTTGACATGGGGAAAAAAAAAAGACATTTACAGCAGCACACACCCATATAACACAGAGACAGACGTTCCAGAAGGTTCCTCACTGCTCCTTTGTCGTAGCAGGGATGCTGGAATCCTCCGATGCACGGTTTACAGTCCGGACCGTAGAAACCTTTGCAGCACTCCGCCACCTGCCCAACACATCGCACTCATTAAAAGGACCACACTGCAAAAACGAGCTAGAAAAATGTCTATTTCCCCTTGAATTGAGTAGGTATGTTATGTTTCTGGCCTGTTAACTAGTATTTGTTTTCATTCCCCTCCCCCTTCTGCTCTGTGCATTTGGCCTCCTTAAGCAGGCCTCTGACTAGTTGACAGTGCCAGATTGCCTGAAAGCCTTGGCTAGTAAGCATCCAGCATTTTTCTGTCTGTCTACCTGATCCTGACATGTTTCTGCCTCTTGATTTTTTGAGCCTGCCTAGCCATTGTTGGATCTGTTTTTTGTGCCGCCTGGATCCCTGACCTGTTTCTGTGCCCTGACCTTGTCCCTGGATTCTGGTTTGGATTCTCTGAAAATCAGATCACCTGGCTCTGACCCTGGACCTCCTTTGACCAAGATTGTCTGCCGAGCCTCAGTGAGAATTCACTGTCAAGCAACCTAAGTTTTCTGGAACCAAGACACCCCGCCTGGATATTAAGGAAGGTTAGTGGCTTAGCAGTCTGAACCTTAAATCATCAATCTCAGCCACTAACCTGTTCTCTCCCCTCCAGAGGCTCTGGCTCCCCTGATCCTGAATAACCTGCATTATTCCCTCAATAAATCTTTTAAAGTTATTTCCTGTTGTGTTCTGGTAGTTTCTGGGTCCTTCCATGATTTCCAATGGAATTATTATTTTAGTCTCAATATAAGATAATTAGATATGATGCCCTTGAAATAAAGCAATGCAATTTTTTTTCTTATTTTAAATGTAAATAGTCCTGATCCATTGGCAAAGTGTGTCACTTATCTCCCTAATTCAAGAGAAAAACGCCTTTATACTAAGAAAAAAAATGACTTATGTAGATTTCAATTATTGCAGTGCAGGAGTCAACAGGATTAATTATTGAACATTTATCTGCTACAGCTGGGTTTTGCTGCTGCAAACTGAAATATCACTAATTCACATCATGCAGCCCCCAAAGTAAAGCCAACAATGATCTGCAGACATGGACTTAGAATGACTAAAGAGGATCTGGTATAATTTAATTAGACATCCGATCATCTTGGTAGAACAAGGGTGGTGTTCTATCTGTACAGGTATAGACAGCGCAGTTAATGAAATATTTTCCCTCATGATTTAAAGGAGCAGCAGGTCTACAGATGATGGAGCTTCTCTGCCGATCTCTACGGTAAAGGCTGGCTGTCCTACAGAGGAAGCTCAGTCAGACGCTTACATCCTGGCTCCTTTGGTCAGGATCCAAACCGTCTGACTAAAGGGCAAGATTGAATAATAGATGAGCAGAACGTCAACCTTTAGCTCAGCTTTACAGCTACAGTTTTTTCAAGATGCTTCACAAAATACCAGCAACAAGAGCACCTGGAGCCCCACCACAGACTCCATGCAAGACCAAGAACAAAAAAAAACTGTCTAATGTGATAAAATTGGTGTCACATCAGGACAGAGTGAGACAAGAGCAAAAAGTGGGGAAGCTTTAACTAAGCAGCAAGCTCCGTTCAAAACGACTTATTTATACTACTAACTAATATTTATTACCGCAATTTTCGGACTATTAGCCGCACCTGAATATAAGCCGCAGAAGTTAAATTGCATGATTTGTACATATACAAGCCGCACCGGACTATAACCCGCAGGTTTTTTATGCTTAATGCCCGTCTTTCTCGCTGTCGTTCTGTCTCTTTCCACTCGTGGTAGAAGTCTGCTTCCGGAGGACCTCCACATTCCCGCGCGCGCGGCTACCGTACTTTTGTGTTGAAGCAAATGTGACGTCAACATGGCGGATGGTAAAATCCATAGATTTAGGTATTACTTGGCTGTAAAAGTCCATAGATAAGCCGCATTGTTATATAAGCCACAAGGTCGAAAAATGAAGAAAAAGTTGCGGCTTATAGTCCGAAAATTACGGTACTCCCTTCCCTCAGATGACTCTGAAACGTTTTTATGTTTTTAAAACAAGTCAATGGTATGAATTAGCTTTTAAAACATTTTGGAGCCTGGCCATTTAGTGTTAGGATCAAAATTTTACAGTGTACCTTATGTGACAGTTATTTTAACAAATATTGGCCAGAGCCTTTACATGACCTCATAAGCTAAATATAAAAGATCCAGGAGGTTTCCAGAAACCATCCACATATATCTCTTGCTCATTCTTTGTTTTTCTGAGGCTAGGTTGATCTCAGCTGAATCGTACAAGAATATCTAATAAGGATAAAGACCTTTGTCCTTCTGCAACGATTGAGATTTTATAGTTTTAAGCCGCTGTCACACCTTGACGATTTAGACAGTGGCGGCCGGCCCATAGGGGGCGCTGGGGCACCGCCCTCCCTGATAAGAAGAGAGAAACGTAA